AAGAAAGAAAGAAAGAAAGAAAGAAAGAAAGAAAGAAAGAAAGAAAGAAAGAAAGAAAGAAAGAAAGAAAGAAAAGAGAAAGAAAATGGAGCTATAATCTGAGGGAACCAGATTGGAAGACTGAGGCCAGGAAAGAGGAGGAAGTCACTCAGGCTGTGGCAGATACAGAAATGGGACAGTTGCTACTCAGTCCAGGTAGCCTGTGCCTAGGGCCAAGTCACTACATGCCCAGTGCTTTAGCTGGTGCCAGACCGGGACTAGAGATGGGACAGGAAGTCTAGAGGACAAGGAGGGGTGCCCTCCCCTAGTTATAGTTAGGCTCTTTCTTCCTGCCCCAGTCTCCTTCCAGTCCCGAGTGACCTTTCCTCCAGATCCCAGGGGCCAGGCCTGCCTGGCCAGCCACAGCTGGGATTGGCCGGAGCCGGAGGAGGTGTGTCCAGACTCCCACAGGCCCCATCTGCTAACAGCAGGTGGAGTTCCAAGACAGACCAGGGACCTCCAGTCCCTGACAAGATCTGTCCTCTAGACATGGCACTGGGCCCCCATGGTCGCCAGCCCTGTGGCCACACACGGGTGCAGACAGCCTAGACCCGGCCACCTATGGCCTGTGCTGTGGCCCTGATCCAGACACAGATGGCTCCTGCCGTGGATGCAGGGGATGTGGTGTCTCCGGCAGTGGACCTGGTGCTGGGTGCCTCAGCCTGCTGCCTGGCCTGTGTATTCACCAATCCCCTGGAAGTGGTGAAGACCCGTCTACAGCTACAGGGTGAACTGCAGGCCCCAGGCACCTACCCACGGCCCTACCGGGGCTTTGTGTCTTCTGTCGCAGCCATCGCCCGGGCAGACGGGCTGTGGGGCCTGCAGAAGGGGCTGGCCGCTGGCCTGCTCTACCAGGGCCTCATGAATGGTGTCCGTTTCTACTGCTACAGCCTGGCATGCCAGGCTGGCCTCACCCAGCAACCGGGTGGTACAGTGGTCGCAGGTGCTGTGGCTGGGGCATTGGGAGCCTTTGTGGGAAGTCCTGCTTACCTGGTGAGTGTCTTCTTCCTTTACCACTCCAACGTGACCGTGACCAGTAGACTCTGTGGCCCTGGGTTGGGTGGGGCAGGTTGGGAGGGGACTGTTCCCTGGGAATATCTGGTTCAGATCTGGAATCTGCCCTTGCTCTGACCCTTGCTCTTTTGGCGTCCATGCCCACTGGTCTTAGCCAGGAGAGGGAGCAGGTTATGAAGTAGGTAGACTATAGCTGTCATTTGCCTGTGGTTACTCCTGGATAGCCTGATATATGGTGGGGATAAAAGCCGCAGCTGATTATGAGCTGCTGTGTCCTAGCCTGGCCACTGAAGTGCTCTGTCCTTGTGAGTGGCAGGACAGAGGCCCAAAGATCTACTTAAGAAACTTGAAGCCGTTGGTGGTGGCGCACGCCTTTAATCCCAACACTCAGGAGGTAGAGACAAGTGGATCTCTGTGAGTTCAAGGCCAGCCTGCTCTACAGAGTGAGTTCCAGGGCAGCCAGGGCTACACAGAGAAACCAGTCTTGAAACCTGTCTTGAAAAGCCAAAACCAAACCAATCAACCAACTAACCAAAAACCCTTGACCTACCAAGATACAAAGGCAGGCTCAGGATGTGGCTCACTTGGTACTGTTTGCCTAATCCTGGGTTTGTTCCCAGGCTAGATGTGACACCACCTGACAACCCATAAATTCCTGTTCCCAAGCACCTTAGCTAGGTGTGGCACCACCTGACAACCCATAATCTCAGCGTTTGGGAGGGGGAGGCAGGAAAATCAGACTTAAGGTCATGGTGACATAGCTAATTTGAGGCCACAGTCTCAAATTTAAAAATAAAAAAGTGGCCAGGAGATGGTGGCACATGCCTTTATTCCCAGCACTCAGAGTCAGAGGCAGGTGGATCTCTGTGAGTTCGAGGCCAGCCTGGTGTACAGAGTGAGTTCCAGGACAGCCAGGGCTACACAGAGAAACCCTGTCTCAAAAAAAAAAAAAAAAAAAAAAAAGGACCAAAAATAAATAAATAAATGAGCTCAAGCCGACTGACCAAGACTGCCCCCAAGCTTCAGATGTAGAGATGTGGAGTCAGGGATACCGTGTGGGAGAGGGGCTCAGACACGCCCAGCTCATTTCCCAGTCTCCAGCCTAAAGCCCCCCATCTTCTCTGTACTCCCAGGTCAAGACCCAGCTGCAGGCCCAGACAGTGGCTGTTATGGCCGTGGGGCACCAGCACCAGCATCAGGTAAAACATCTTCCCCAGAACCCCGGGGGTTCCCGGCTGTGCGGGGACTGGGGCTGTCTAGTGACCCGTACCCTCTCTTCCCCGCAGAGTGTCCTGGGTGCTTTGGAGAGCATCTGGCGCCGGCAGGGTCTACTAGGGCTGTGGCGGGGTGTGGGTGGGGCTGTGCTCCGAGTCACAGTGGGCTCAGCCGCCCAGCTGGCCACCTTCGCCTCGGCCAAGGCCTGGGTACAGGAGCGCCAGGTAAGCGCCTGGGAGCCCCTGCACAGACAGGGAGCTGGAGGGCCCCGGCCTCTTACACAGGGGTGGGCACAGATGGGGTCCAAAACAAAGCCTGGTCTTGCTGAACGTGGGGAGACACACTTATGTTCCTAACACTTGGGATGCTGAGGCAGGGGGATCAAGAAGCTTAAGGTGGTCCTCAGCTACCTAGGGTTCCAAGTCAGCCTAGGCTACCTACGTGAGACCCTGTCAAAAGAGAAGAAAGGAAGACGGGGGGAGGGAGAAAGGAGAGAAGGAAGGAGGGTCAGAAGGAAGAGAGGAAAGAGAGGGGAGCTGCAGGGAAGGGTGGTGTTTCTCACCTGTACAGCGAGACATTTTAGATAAGATAGATAGACAGACAGACAGACAGAGAGAGAGAGAGAGATGATAGATAGATATAGAGAGATAGAGAGATGAATAGATAGATAGATGATAGATAGATAGATAGATAGATAGATAGATAGATAGATAGATGATAGATGGATGGATGGATGGATGGATAGATAGATAGATAGATAGATGATAGATAGATAGATAGATAGATAGATAGATAGATAGATAGATAGATAGATAGAGATAGGATAGGGAAGGGAAGAAGAAAATAGTTGTTGGCTCTGTCACTGTAGCTGTGACCTAGCCCTTCTGTCCAACAGGCGTTGGACATCAGTGAACCCTGAAACCATGGAGGAACACAGGCTTGGTATTGGGGCTGGGAATGGCTAGAGAGGTCTGATTTGCTCGCCTGCTCTAGCCCTTCCAGCCCTCATGGGCTTAGGGCAGGGAGAGCACATTAGGGGTGGGTAGAGGGCAGTGGGCAGGGTCAACAGCCTGAGCCATCCCCACAGTGGCTTTTGGAGGACAGCTGGCTGGTAACCCTGGCTGGAGGCATGATCAGCAGTATAGCGGTGGCTGCGGTCATGACTCCCTTCGACGTGGTCAGCACTCGGCTATATAACCAACCGGTGGACAGAGCCGGCAGGGTGAGCAGGGGGCAGGGGAATGTAGGGTGTGGGGAGATGGGAGACACACACACACACACACACACACACACACACACACACACACACGGGGACACGTGCCATATTCACAGGCCATTAACACGCACGCCCTAAAACCTTCAACTGGATTTTATTCTGTTTCCTGGTAAGGAAATCGGCTCAGAGAGATCAAGTGACCTGGTCGAGGCCGCCCAAATGATCAGTGGGAGGGGCAGGTTTGGAATCATGGCCTTCCTGTGGTGATCCCAACAGAAAGTGTCAGGACAAAGATGTCCAAGTGACGCTATCCAAGCTGCACCCCTGCAGGAGGCTATCTGCCTGAAGGAAGAGGCTCCTTGTTAATATCACAGTCTATAACCCTCCCGGGCCAGGAGGGACTAGGTGCTCCTTCTAACCGGACACTAGACACACCTGCTTCTGTCATCTGGGACCTCTCACCTCTCGAGGTGATCCTCAACCCACGTTTATCCCCAGGGCCAGCTGTACGGGGGCCTCACTGACTGCCTGGTGAAGATCTGTCAACAGGAGGGACCCCTGGCACTCTACAAGGGCCTAGGCCTTGCCTACCTGCGCTTGGGCCCCCACACCATCCTTAGCATGTTCTTCTGGGATGAGCTGCGGAAGCTGGCCGCAAGGGCCCAACACCAGGGCACCTAGCCTTGTCTCTCACCCCACCGCCAAGCAGGGCATTTGTGGAAGTGATGGCCTGCTTCAGTAGGACTGGCTGCCCGGAGCCAGCTTGAGTCAGGCCCTGCCACAGGTCAGGGGAGTGACCCGGGGACCAGTCCCAGGACTAGTTCACCCCAAGTCACCGCCCCTCACCCCCTTCCTCTCCCCTGGGTTACCGTGCCCTAGCACATTGCCACAGTAGCGTCTGCGTACAAGGGTCCCCGTGAGCAAATCCACTCAGTGGTACTGGCTTCTCAGTCCTCCGCCTACTGTGTGACCACACAAGCCTTGCTCAGAACAGGGAAACTGAGGGAGATATGACTCTGGCTGGGGTCACATGGCTTTCCGGTGACAGAGCCAGGACTACAGTCTGACTCTGCCTACCCCATCCTACGCTCTCAGCAAGGGAACTGCCAGGACCGTTGGGCAGCGGATCCCTCAGAGGCCGCTGCACGTGAGGAGACTTACAGTTGGGCCACGAGGGAAGCCTTGGTGTCCCCAGACTCTAGCTAGCTAAGGCCAGTTATGGAACAAAGTTCTAAAACCTTGGGAACTTGAACAAGAAAAACCTATTTTCTTACCTCCGGAAGCCCAGAAGCCCAAGAAGGTATTGGCAATGTTAGTGTCTCTCTCCTTTTATTTCTGTTATTTGTGGTACTGTGGTGGAACCAGGGTCTGGGCATGTCAGTCACGTGATCTGTGACCTACACCCTCAGCCCAGGGCTGACTTCTCCAGAGGCTTCTCTCCTTGAGCAGCCTCTTCCCAGTGCTTACCATCTTCTCTGTGTGTTGGAGCCACATCAGCTTTTATTAGACTAGGGACAGGTCAGTCCGCAGAATGCCTGCCAGGGACTCATGAGGCCCCGGGTTCCATCCCCAGCACCGAATAAACCGGGCACAGTGGCACAGGCCTGTAATCTCAGCACTTCGGAGGTGGGTCAGGAGGATCAGGAGTTCATTTTCAGCTACATAGTGAGTTTGAGGCCAGCCTGGACTCCATGGGGGGGGAGGAGAAGAAGAAGAGGAGGAGGAGGAGGAGGAGGAGAGAGGAGCAGAGCAGAGAGGGGAGAGAGAAAGATGGACAGAGAAAGGGAGAGGCAGAGGGAGGAGAGGGGAGAGGGAGAAGAGACAGGGGAATTCAGTTATATTGGGTAGGGTCGGCACAGGGATCGCATGTTAAATTGGAGGTGGCTACCACTGTCTCCACAGACACCTCCTGAGGGACTCGGGTTAGGACCTCAGCGTGGCTCTGGGAGCATCCCTGAGTTCAGGCTTTATTTGAGGGCTTCCCATTTGTGAGCATCCAGAGGGGGCTCAGGCGATGGGAGCCCAGATAAGAGGGCGCCTGCCCACGCAAGTCACCGGGCAGTGCCACAGCAGGGCCAACGACGGACTCTGGGCCCCTCCTCCAGACTGCAGCCACACTCGGGGAGACTGTTGGGAACCGAGAAGGTGTGTTTGTAAGGCACCCAGGAACCAACCACCTTCCCCAAACACACCCCAAGTGCAAAAAAAAAAAAAAAACTGCTCTGGATGAACACTCCAATAAAGTTTTCTATTTTGTGTATCTTTCATGACTCCCCTCTACTTCCCTGACCCTGACCCTCAAACCCTCAGCTCTCAAGCCTTTTTCTAGGAAGAACCCAGAAACCAGCGGCCAACTGCCCAGGTGGGGGCTGCCACCTAGTGGACCCAAGAGGAACAGTATGAACCGGAGGCAGGTTGCATTCAACCTGAATCTTTTTTTTTTTTTTTTTTGAGACAGGGTTTCTCAGTGTAGTTTTTGGTGCCTGTCCTGGATCTCGCTCTGTAGACCAGGCTGGCCTTGAACTCACAGAGATCCGCCTGGCTCTGCCTCTCGAGTGCTGGGAATAAAGGCGTGCGCCACCACTGCCCGGCCCAGCCTGAATCTTAAGGGGATTCCAAACCCCCTTTCTTTGCGGCCTGTAGAAGCTAGACTACTAGACAGATCTCAGAAGGGGCAACGGCCTGAAGAGACCTAGAGCTGTGGGGACTTGAGTGGGGAAGACCGTGTGCTTTGGGAACTTGAGTGGAGAGGGCCGGCTCACTCTTCAGGCTGAGTGCGGGCCACACCTGAGTCTGGGGAGGCCGGGTGAGCAGACAGCCGGACTTTAGGAAGGCTTGGTGATCTGGAAGTCTAGAGGGGGCAGACGGCACCAGAGTGAACTGCTTTGCCCTTGAGGCCTAAATGAGAAGCCAGCAGCCGCAGAGGGCTAACAGAGCCGCTCCCCGGACCCCGCTTCCTGCAGCCTGGACGTCTAAGGCTCTCCTGCCCCGCCCCCAGGCCTTTGACCCCTTCCCAGTCCCTCCCCTGTCCTCTAGAGACACCTTTGACCGGTGATGTCATTGGGTCTGTCCCAGCGCAGACCCAGCCCGAGGCTGCCATGTTCTCCTTCCCTTCCCTCTCCTCCTGGCTCCCCAGCCTCCCTTCCTTTGACTGGGGTTCCAGCCTCTTCGACAGCCTCCTGCAAGGTGAGCGCCTCCTGGATGCGCATCGGGCCCCGCCCCTCCCTCGGGTGGGCGGAGTGCAGGGTGGGCCCCACCACCCACGTGTGTGGGGGCGGCGGGGGAGCCTCTGCACCTGGCTGCCGCCCCCCCCCCGGCGCTAACCCTGTCACCTCCCCTACGATCCTAACGCTCCCCTCACCCTCTCCTTTGTCCGGCTCAGGCCTGATCGCGGCCCTTGGAGTCTCGGTTCTCAACAGTCTCCTGAAAGTTTACTTCTTCGTGGCCTGTGTCAAGTGAGTGCCCGCATCGGTGCCACCCAGCCCCGCCCGGGCAGTTGGTCACTGCGCGGAATCTGGTCTCTCCTGGAGAACGCTGAGAGCGGGGCTGGGACCCTGGCATCCTCCCAGGATCGGACACCGCGATCCCGCCTCCCAGCCCGCACCCGTTCTGCCCCCACAGTGACCCCCAGCGGCAGACCCATAAGCAGCGGCTGCGAGCCCAATGGGCCTCACTGGAGACAGTGCACCTGGCTGGTCTGACCCTGTTCCTGACGGTGGTAGGGGCCCGAGTAGCCGCCCTGGTGGTACTGGAGTTCTCCCTCCGGGCCGTGTCCACAGTGTTGTCCCTGGGCAAGGTGAGACTGCGGGGTGGGGCCAGTCTGGGCCGCTTTCATCCTCTGGACTGGGAAGTAGGGCTTCGTGGGGTCCGCGTTTCCTTCCGATGGAGACCAGAGATTGTAGTTCGTTACCTGGAATTTTGATTGCCAAAGTCACATCTCCACGGCAGCACAGACGGATCTCTAACCCCCTCCGTGTAAATGTCAGTTCTGTGAGCTGGGATTGTGGCTCAGTTGGTAGAGCGCTTGCCTAGCATGCACTAAGCCCTGGATTCGATCCCTGCACTGTGTAAACCCAGGCATGGTGACTCATTCCTGTAATCCCAACACTGAAAGGCGGAGGCAGGAGGATGAGAAGTTCAGGGTCATCCTTGACTAACTGCTGGGTTTTAGGCCAATTTGGAACACATGAGATCTTGTCTCAAAAAAAAAAAAGTCCTGTATTGCCCTTGCTAGGTACCTTGACCCACGTTGTCCTGAGAGCTGTGATGATTAAGGGTCTTCTTAGATCTCCACAAGTGGAGAAACCGAGGCTCAAGGGAGCACATGGTTTGACCAACAGTCGTCAGGGAGTGAGGTGTGAAATCAGGAAGGCCCTGAACCATCACCCTCCAAGCCATGGATGGGCAAGAGAAACCACCCCTCGGATGCCAGTCACCCACAGTGCAGCCTACCCTGGACTCCCTTCCCCTGCAGGGCTCGGGGGAGAAGGAGCGACTCCAGCTCTTCCTGGTCTGTCAGTTCTCACTGGGCTGCGGGCTGACCTGCGGCCTGAGCTTCCTACAGGAAGGCGCCCCACATCGCACCCTGAACCTGCTGCTGAGCCTGGGGCTGGCCGCGCTGTTTGGCCTGGGTGCCCGGCGCTTCCGCCGACATGTCTGCAGCCTCTATGAGTTGCACAGCGGTCAGCGTTACTGTGGGGTCTGCCTGGGTCTGCTGGCTGGCCAGCATGGCCTGCCCAGGCTCCTGGGCCGCACGCTGGCAGTGGCCTTTGCTGTGAGTGACCTGGCAGCAGTGGCCCTCATCAACCAGGACTTCCTGAGCACATCAGAGGCCATGCGCTTCTGGACGCCACTCACCATCTGCTACACGCTGCTGGTCATCTACATGCAGGGTGAGAGCCCCGGGGCTGGGGTCCCTTCTGTTGGCCACACTCCCCCTATTGTCCCAGCCACCCAGTCCAGGGACAGGATTTGTATTCTACTGTGGGCTGCTCAAAGCAGCGATGTGACATAGAAGCCCTAAAGAGCTGGTACCTGGGCTGGGCTGGTGGCAAGGTGAAAGGGATTGTGGGCAGGAGAAACACCTGCCGAAGCAGAGAGTGAGTGAGGGCATGGCCATGCAGAGCACTGAGTGGTTCAGGGTTGTTACTCCAAGGGCAACAGGGATTAGAGCAAGGCTGGCCATCTTGAGAAAGGCCTGGTCCAGAGCCCCGGCCAGCCAGGCTGGGCAGGGTCCTAAGCAGGAGAGCGTGGAAGAGAGTGAGGGATCAGATCTGGCCTCTGGGAAGAGCCTCCCGGCTGCAGACTGGGAAATGGTTGGCCATGGCAGAGCAGGGAAAGGTGGTCCAGGCAGTGGGAACCGCAAGTGTGAAAACCCTGAGGTGGGAATAAGCTGGGGCAGGCTCCACGTGCAAAATGGGAAGCCAGAATGTCTGGCTCTGTGAGAAAGGGGAGCGTGGGTCAGAGACGGCATGAGGATGGGGAAGTGGGCTTGGGCCCAGTCAAGCCTGACCTCGTCAGACAAGGCTTGGATCGAATTCTACTCTAAAAGCCCTAGGAAGTCCTGGGAGCCTTCTGAGCAGAGGAATGATGTCATCTTATTGACATGTTTAGGTCACTTAAGCTGGTCGGTAGAGCTTGCTCAAGAACAGAAATCAAGAGCCCCATGAATTAGCTCAGCAAGAGGGGAAGGTGGCTGGGACCAGGGTGGGGCAAGAGAGCAGGGCATGTGCTAGGCAGAAGGGGACTGGGCTGCGGATGAATCAGGCCCATGGGCGTGAAGGGAAGAGTCTTAGGTTCTTGCCACCGACTGGCAAGGGCTCTGTCCTCAACCAGGGGGAGACGGAAGGGCGGGCAATAAGTCTTGTGGGTGCCCCGAGAGGGAAGCCGGGAAGCAGAGAGGCGATCGGGGAAGGTGATACTGTCCCTGGGGAAGGCAGTTGAGAAGTGGAGCAGGCTGGCCCCAGCTGACCTCCGGAGGGCGTCGGCTGAGGCAGTGACAGACACATCCCACAGAGGAGCAGCGGCAGCATCGCTTCAGCCTGCAGGGCCAGGTCCAGACGGTGCTGGTGCGCATGGGTGGCCTCTTCATTTTGTTGATGACTGTGGGCCGGTGGCTGGACCTCCTTGGTGTCCTTGTTTCGCTTTTGGGTGAGCTCTGGTGCCTTGCAGGTGTTCGCACCCTAATCGACCTCTGCCAGATACAGGTAGGCACCTCCATGTACCCCCAGCTTCCTACCCTGCTCCCAGGGTTCCCAGCACCTCCAGAGGCCCAAGTTTGACAAGGGTTGTGTTGACTGGGGAGAGTATTAGACCCAGGTGTCTCTTAGGTCACTAGGAGTGGGGACCACTCCCAATAGTGCCTGGGACCATTCTAGCTGGCACCCCGGGGCCCCAGAGGGGTAATAAGGTCCTGATGATAATGGAGCTGAGACTAACTGGGGGATGTGTCCCCTCTGACCCTCCCCCAGGGCTTTCCATCCCAGAGGCCTACAGTAACAGCAGCAGTAACACCAGGAAGGGTATCAACAGTGTCAGATCCATGCGAGCCCCGGCCTTCCACACCTGCCCTGTCCAGAAGCGAGGCCCCCTCCTGACCTGCCCTATGGAGGACTCAAAGTCAGTCTCAGGCCTACACAGGCTGACCAGCAAGGCCTTGACCACAAGATGTGGCCTGGAGACTGGGTGGCAGAGCTGGTCCCCACCTAGACCAGCTCTGGGCAGGCCATGGGGGCCCCTGGAGAAAGGGGGCAGCTAGAGCTGGGGACCTGGGGAGGTGGGGACGTGAAGGCCCCTGAGTAAATCCCTCTGTCTTGAAGATGGGCCATGGATACAGCTCCCTCAGACCCGCCTTTCCTGGCCAGGCAGGAGGACAGACAACGACTGTGACCTCAGAATGGCCCCCTGCCTGTTGCCACCCCTCCCCCACCTTGCTCTTTCCACAAACAATAAAGTTGACTTTTCTCAACCTGCGCTGAGGATTATAGAGACAGAAAGGGAAAGAGGCTTCCTGGGCCCACAGCTCTTTGGGCAGGGTTTGGGGATATGAACCTCAAGCCTGTCCCTGCCCTGAGCCTCCTGGGGGTCAAAGGACACAGGTTGAAGTTCCCAGGTTCTTGGTCCCAGGACAAAGAATTGCACCAGGAACACATGGTTATCAAGATGGTGGGGAGCTGGAGAATGCTCAGGGTTAAAGCGTGTAATGCTCTTACTGAGGATCTGAGTGTAATCCCTAGATCCCATTTCAGGCAGCTCACAACTGTCTGGAGAAGGTTCCACGGGATATGATGCCTCTGGCCTCCTCGGGCACCTGTATTCATGTTCACAGATATGTATACATACACAGAATTAAAAATAAAAAAGCAGAGGCAGTTTGTAAGAAAGGGGAAACATAGCCATGTGGTGGTGGTGCACGCCTTTAACCCCAGCACTCAGAGGGCAGAAGCAGAAGGATCTCTGTGAGTTCAAGGCCAGCCTGGTCTACAGAGCAAGTTCCAGGACAGCCAGGGCTACACACGTTGTGGGATAATCTTTTTGTACACTGTGAAGAAGTGTCTCTGCCAAGGTGCCTTCTGATTGGTTTAATAAAGAGCTGGATGGCCAATAGCTAGGCAGGAGAGGGATAGGCAGGGTTTCCGGGGAGAGAGAGGATGAGGGACAGAGAAGACAGGAAACACAGGGATGAGGTGCCATACTTACTGAGGTGGCCAATGAGGTGAAGTAGGGTGGTAGAGTCCTAGTGTCCACCTGCAGCTAAGATGTTCAGCACTCCTGTCCTGTCCCATCCAGGCTGGGAGGGCTCTTGGGTCCCCAGCTCCCCATCCTGACCTGTCCAAGGTAATAAGGGTCCTTCCCACCTCAGCCCTGTTCAGGGCCAAGATCGGGGACAGAAAGGGCTGGGGACTCACTCTTCCGCCTACTTTCTGTGTGACTATGGACAAGCTACTGTCCCCCTCCGAGCCCATCAAAAGAATTACTACCTAGGGTGGGGGGGCACTAATCCCAGCATTCAGAAGGCAGAGGCAGGTGGATCTCTGTGAGTTTTAGGCCATCAAGGTCTACAGAGCGAGTTCCAGGACAGCCAGGGATACACAGAGAAACTGTGTCAAAATATATATATATATAAAACCATTAAAAATGAACACACTATGTTGGGTGCTTACCAAGTATTCAGGTACTGAACACTCAGTAACCCATTTACTGACCTATTTTAACCCACACTCTGTTTTCCTTTTCTGTTATTCTGCTTTGTTTTTGACACAGGGTCTCACTGTGGCTGGTCTGAAACTCACTCTGTATTCCAGGCTGGGTTCAAATTCACAGAGATCTGCCTGCCTCTACCCCCTAAGTATTAGAATTAAAGGTATGTGCCACCATGTCCAGCTGTTTGATGTTTCTGAAATGGTCTGGATATGTAGCCCAGGCTGGCCTTGAACTCATGGCCATGAACGCCTCTTGCCTCAACCTCCCAATTGCTAGGATTATAGGTAGGGTACCACAATACCCTGATCCTAGAGGGTAAGTCCTTTGCTTGACATACAGAATTTGAAGAATTGTGTTCATATGTGTGGAGGGGGGAGAGAGTGTTTGTGCTTGTACATTCTAGAGTCCTCAGAAGCCAGAAGAGGAAGTCAGAGAGAAGAGGGACTCATATGCCCTTGAGTAGGAGTTACAGGCATTTGTGAGCTGATTCACACGGATGCTAGGAACCAGACTGCAGTCCCCTGCTAGAGCAGCAATTATTCTGGACCAATGAGTCATCCTTCCAGCTCAGGCAGGATCTGAGCACTGGCAGCCTGCACGCCATCCCATCCCACCCCACCCCAGAACTCATTTTGCATGCTCCTTGCTCCCCTTTTCTGGCTGAAGGTTAGGTCCAGGGGATTAAGAGGGCTGCATATGAGAAGTAGGCAGATCCATCCCAGGTGGCTCTGGAATGTGGGTCTGGCCACCATATGTCTCAGGCAGCCAAAGGTGCCCATCAGGTCTGTTCTAGGCCAGGAACCCAGCAGTTTGGATCTGTGGGGATTTCACTAGAGGAGGCCCACAGGGCAGAAGTGCCCAATCTGCTAAGAGGTGTTGTGGAATATTAGTTGAAGATGTGTGTGTTACATTTGTTTATGCTGTGGAACATTTGTTTAGTGATGCAAAAATGTGTTGCTTTTTTTTTTTTTTTTGGTTTTT